CTTGGGATACAGTTCTCGGCCTCCACGGATTAGCTGCACCAGCTCCGGTGAGTCTCCCAATTTATTAATTGGTCAAGGGATTTCGATAGATACTTAAGATTCGCTCTCCGTGCGTTTGCTGATTTTACGCGACCCCAAAAATCGACAGGATCCGTTAAGCTATCGCCTCGTCCGATAGGATCCGTCAGAGCTCTCGTTCTTGGTGGAGTTGGGCCTGTTCCACCCCAACTCCCAGTTTATATCGGCTCGTCAGTTCCCGGTGAAAAAAGAATTGGCTGGCGGCCGTCTGGCTTGCGGATGCACGAACGACGGGTGGACGGCCGAAGGTAACGTAGGTTGCTTCTCGAAGATAGTTCGTTCTCGGATGTTTTGCTATCGGTGTCGGGTCAAGGAAAAGAATTACGTTACAATATATATATACATACATTATCACGAGGTGCCCGGCACGACCCCGCTATAATTAATTTATCTACAGGATCGTCAGGAAGCGCTAAAGAGCTAGGAATTTCGAAAAAATTAGAAGTTCTTATCGGGAATCGAACCCGATACCTTCGGACGGCCAAATGAAGGAAAAGAATTACTTTACAACTCTTTGGTTGTAACTTCTTATAATAGTCATTATTATAAGTTTAGTAGCATCTTAATTCTTTAAATGCCCTTATTGCTCTATTCTAATTTATTACTTATTATTATTACGTTTCATTCTTGTGTAATCGGTCTGCGGGGTTCTACGGCCCCTGAACGAATAAATAGAATTCTCTTTCTCTCTCTTTCCATCTTCATGTTCTTTTTACGATATTAAATTGTTATACTGTCAATCGCGTTACGACTTTGTAAATCGATGGATAACTTCTAGCATGGTCGAGTTCTTGCTTCGCGCTATCGACAAACATGACTCTGGCTGCGAGCAAGATCTCTGTGAAGATATCTTCAGGAACATCATCAATTGTTTCCTCCAATGGCTTTTAGGATGAAAGGCACAAAATTTCTGTTTCTATTCTGAAAATTAAACACGTATCTAATATACAAAATGCTTCGAAGTAGTACCATGCTCGCCCGCAGCCTCTGCCAGTCATATAACGTTAACGGTTAGTCAAAACGCTTGAAAATCAATCAATCTAAGTAACATCTGCTCCCAGTAACCTCAAGAGTGTATCCGTGTACTAGGTACTTCTCCAGATCGTACCGTTTGGTATTGCTTTGGTTTTCGTAAATCCAGCAACCACGGCTCCAGCATCTTTGACAAGATACGATATGAGAAGCTACGATATAGACCAGAAAATGGTGAAATCATAGCGACAGTCCAAGTACCAGCGACCGATATAGTTCACTAAGAGGATATTTATTTTTGAAAATAAAGGATATTACGAGCAAGTAGAATCCCAAAGATCGAGCGACCGAGCTGACCGGGATGCTTCGGAAATTCGTGATGTGACACCGGATGAACGTAACGTGCGCAGCTGGAGAGCTGACGATGATGAGTGGAATGATTACGAATATTAGTTGGATGATGTGAGCTAAAAGGGCGTTACAGTGTTAACCGATCGTCACTCGGAATCCGTCCATCGTTAATCCGTAAGATTTTCGCAGTAGGTGCGCATTGGATTGTAGAATTACCGTAAGGCGCTTCTATCGCGGCAAGCCTCGCCGCTTTCCCAAGGAAAGACGCATTATCAGATTGGTTTGCACGGTTAGCATTCACCAGTCTTTTACATTCATGAAGCTTTTATTCAGTTGATTTGACTATACGGTTCGTATTCACGGCTCTCGATTTGATTTGCATTGATTGGAGTGCCGGCTTTTCCAATACCCACAGAATGCACTTCCGTGTCAATGTTATTTCTATGTGAGCGTTTACGGGACGGGAATACAGGGTGGGATGAAAGGGGGGCAGGCACGTGTTATACGATGAATTTCAGTTGGTAAAAACACCGATACCGCACTTTTGACTCAAGCCCCTTTTTTTCACTTGAAGTAAAAACGCAGCGTCTGCCTAAACGAACGGACGGACGTTGATAACGAGGAGATGCAAAAATGATTGGTAGGAAATAAGAAGAGAGGAAAAACTGAGGAGCAGATGATGGAATGTTCGTTGCCATGACTGCAGTTACGATCATCGGGTTGGTTGAGGTTGGCAGATGCAAGAAAAGTATGCCGATGTTTCTTGCTTGACGATTCTAATTCTGTCCTTGTAGAGCAGCTGGCTGGCAGTTATATTGTACGTATGTTGGCAGCAGGTTGATGATTAATCGATTCGTGGCGATATGTCCTGAACGTTACTCGTGTGTGTTGACTACCGACGGCAGGGGCCTCAAGAGATGACAGTGAAAAATTTCAAGAGACCAAATATTTAGTAGGATGCTTGTGAAACCGCAGCCTCTTCTACGTCCATCAATAAAAATCATATTGTCATTAATAAAAATATTTATATTGTCACGTGACAATGATCCGCTCCGAAGCCCTGATCGCTATGTTTACTTGGGAGCAGCCTATCTTGAATCCATAAGATCAAAAGGCGGGCAAACATAAAAACCTACTGGAAAACTAGAAGCATATTTGATACCTAATCGTCGCTGGATGATCTTTCACTTTTACACTTTTCTCATAAAATAGCAGCGTAAGGGCCACCTGGGAATTTCTCAGATCAAATTGATTCGTATGCATCTATCCGAAGAATTCATCTGGACTTACTAATAACTAGATGAAATTTTATTCTCACTGACATATCTTTCACTGATTATCGAACAGATACAAGGTATCAACACTAATTTCGTTTATCATTAACGTCATCGTACAGAGTCCTGAAACAATCAAGTGCAGGAAATCTCCGTAGACGAAGAAGCTCGTGTTCCGTTTGCATTACCAAGAGCTCAGCATAATTTTCCTGGAGCTTCCTCATCAGTTCTGATCTTTCCACGATCATCTTCATCCTACCATCGCGACATTCTTCTTCCTCCTCCTCGGCAGTCAAGTTTCTCTGTAATTCCATTTCGCATCTAGTTACGTTCGTTTCCGTAATACTTTTGTCGAGGAGTGAATTATTCCTCTTAGTTGTCTGGATCTTATTATCAACATCATTCATCTTGAGGAGCCAATCTTTCAAGGATTTTTCAAAGATTCTGTGCATCACCTCTAGTTCTCGTTCCAGCTGCTGCGCAATCTTATCATCCTTGATGTTCTTAGCTTTGCGTTTCAAGTATACTTGAATATCTCTAGTAACATTTACATTTGCAATAGAGGACAATTCTTCCCGTAAATCTTCAATTTTCATTTTGAAATATTTGTGTGTCCATTCCTTGATGAGTATACCTCTATGAAAATTAATGGTCCTGGTCATGGCCTGTAACTTCTTATCACCTGCATTTAATATCGCCTGATTAACTTTCTCGACTTCGTATCTGGGTATGAAGATGGCGTTCCTCGTGTCCCTAAGATGCCCATTAGGTTGAATTTCGACCTGGCCCATCTTCAGCACGAATTGAGTCTCCACGTTCTGAGCAAAGTCGATCTTGTCCTGGTGCAGTTTGCCCAATTGCTCCCTCAGGTTATCTATCTCGGTTTTGTGTCTTGTAATTTTCTTATTTAATTCCATGATAGTATGTTCCGCTTCCAATATATCTGCAGCTATCGCTTTTATTTTCATTTCCATTTCTATTTTGTGTCGACGTGCCTTGACCAGATGGTCCCAGTGCCCAGAGTCTATGGACTGTGGCAATGTTGCAGGACGAATATCTAAGAGGTCCAGTGCTTTGACATAATCGATACAAGATTGAGGAATCAGGGTTGATTTTGTGAAAGTTGCCGCACACTTTCCTACTTCCAATAGGTCACAGGACAATATTTCTTTTGGTACTGTATAAGGTCTCCTCTTGTACTGCCTTATCAACAATTCAAGTAATCCCTTACCAACGGTATGAAATTCTGACCTGAACTTTTTTTCTATCGACTTTTCACGATAAGAGAAGGATTCAAAATTCACGCGCAATTCCGTAGTAGAATTTTGTAAGATACGTACATGTTCCATTATCAATGATAAATCTTTCTGTTTCGAAGCGATCTTCTCTCTGATAAGGTCATCCTCCATGAAGAGTTTCAATAGTTGAAAATTCCTCAGGCATATCCTCACGTAGCGCAAATTCAATTGAAGCGTTGCTGCTTCGACTTTCAGTCTCGTTTGAAAGAATTCACGAAGACGACTGTTAAACTTATCAATACCCTCCTTCAGAAGTCCGCTGACTTTCTGGAAATCGGATTCCAAAATTCTCCTGTATCTCTCTCGCTCGTGCTGTAGAAATTCCACATTGCTCTCGTATTGCTGTACCAAAAGTATATCTTCTGCTGTGTACTCGTCCGGTTCTTTCATTAGCATACACTGAGGCTTCGGTTCATCCTTCTTAATGATGTCCTCCCAGCGCACTTCCAGGACACCATCCATCATTGCCATCAGTGCCTTCTCGCGAAAGTCATCAGCCAGTAGAAGCAACCTCAGTCGATCTGCTTCCATGGTTTGTCTATCTAATATTTCCTGTTGAGATGGAGAAATGTATGGCTTCGCCTTCACTTCCTGTTCCATGACTCTAATGATGCTCTCTGGTTTTTCCTTGTGATGCCATTCTGGCTCCATTGGGACTTCCGGAATATTCTGACCGAACATAATATTCAATTCGGAATCAATATATCTCAATCTCTCATTTCTCTCTTGCACGAACGTCATTTCACGCTCTTTCACGCCATACATATCATTAAATAATTTATTGAAGTATTTACGTAGATTCATACAGTCCTGTACCAAGTTTCTATTGTCATAGATCATATGACAAAAGCTATAGACACTAAATTGTGGATGAAAATGCGATGAGGGTTCGATGAATCTATAAGTAGTCATACCTTCCATTGCTCTTTGATTATTAATCTCAGCAGCATCTATTCCTTTGTCCTCATCTTCTTCTGCAGCTAAGAGAAGTGCATCTATACGTTGCTTCTCGTCGCTGCGATGCAGTCTGACTTGCTTATTCAGTTCAATTTTCAATTGGGAGTCCGTGTAAACTCTCCATGGGCAAAAGCTGTCGTTCTCCATGATATTGGATATAACATCTTTTGAGAATTGGGACCACCTAAGATATTCCTGAGCGTGAGGATGTTCAGCAACAAAGGCGTAGTTCGTGACTTCGATGCTACCGAATATCGAGAAAATCGACTGGCCCTTGACTTTTTGGGGGTCCCAGAAAGTCGTCTTCAGCCAATTGGACACGCGATCCATCGAGATGCAATTCGACTCCAGTTCCAGCCTTGCATCTTCTCTCTCATCCCTGGCAACCTTCATCTTCTGCTCACGAGTCACTTTGTCCAGGTCGAATTCTGATAATGGCAATCTTTCAATTTCCGGACAGTTCTCGTTGATGTCCAAGAGTTTGGTCACTTTATATCTAAGGGCATTAAAATTTTTTTTAATGACATCCTTGTTCGAAGCGCATCCTTCAGCCTCCTCAGATACTTCTTGTTGCAATCGCCACTCTATCCAGGATAGTTTCAACGACCCTTCGTCAACCGTAAAATTAACCGGAGTTCTCATCAGCATTTCAGATATTAATGGATCCAGGGTACCATAATCGGCCAGAATAACATCCCTGTGTTTAGTGTATTCATCCCAATTGATGCGATATACATTTTCTGGGGTAGCCGAATCTGGTTCTTCGTCCTTAGACAATTTCATGGCCACTAAGGAACCATTATAGCCTAAGGCAATTATCAAGTCACCAGATAATCCCATAAACACATTTCTAGAACCTAAGTCCCATCTATGATGAGGCATCAATTTAACTACAATGCTGTTTATATTTTTATCTCTGATAACCACACGACCATCCATTGCACTGGTACCAATCCAATGTCTGTCACTAAATATGTTAGCCTGTCGTACCTCATGCCCGGTATTGAGAGCATCCAAAAGACTTACGTCCTTCCATTCTTGCATCTCAAAAACGTGCAATTGTTTAGACAAATAAGGGGTCCCAATAAAACCTGTTTCACTATCTGGACTGTAATGTAAGGACCTGAAGCCATTGCCAAGTTCCAACATATAGATAGGATCAGTAAACAGCAACTGACCAACTGGCTGATCATAGAGAATTATTTGATGACCGATGGCAGCTTGTTTCGATGACACGTGAAGTACAAGTAGTTTCAAATATCCACTGAGAGATTCGTACAGCAATACGTCTACTATTTGTCGTTTTGCCTGTAGTTGTGCTACCACTTCAAAGGGCCTCGTGTGTGATAATTCAATACAAAAACAATTGCCAGTTGTTGATTGGCTTGCTATCACATAATTAGCGCAGCGTGAAAACTTGAGCAAATCCAGACAGTCAGTTTGTAACTGATAATGCAAAATGACTTGTGGCGCCTCTGGGTTAATCAAACCCAGGAGAATAATTTCACCGCTGATACTGGTCAACGCTGCCATTGGATAATCTGGATGAGTCACGTGTTCGGATATGCCATCGGAAAACGGTAGGTTAACTTCAGCCACGTTTTTGCCAAAATGCGCATCTATAACACCAAGCTTGCGCGTTTCGTCGGTGACTGTTAAATGATGTCCCCAAGGATACAGAAAGTTCGCAAAACGATATTTTCTGCCATATTCCAAACGAGTCTCTAGAACGGCTGTATCCTGACCTTCCGCAAAATATATTTGCAAGAGATCGCCTTCGCGCGTGTGACAGTACAGACGATTTGTTTTAAATGAATTCGATCTTAGACTGTAGGGTGTGTAATCGGTTTTGATATACCACAATTTTCGCCATTGATTCTTTTCAGTTTTTCTGTAAAAACGTATCTGACAGAAGGTTGTCTTCAATATTATTCCACCATTGTACCAACATATTTCTGGCAACTGATCGCTGACACATTCCTGACAGCGTTGCGTGATAACGACCCGTTGCAAATTTGTACCGTCTTGATGGCACAGATAAACATCCGAGCGCTTATCAGTGATTGCTAATAAAAGCGTTCCCGAATCATATCCCCAATCCATTCCATGTGCCTTTACGAGATGCGGAAATTTGATACGATAATCTGTGAGGAGTACAGTTTTTCCAGAAGTATTTGCTTCCCATATGTGAACATTTCCAGTTTCTTGATTCAGATGAGCAATTAAGCACTTGCCCAGATATGTCGCCCTGAGTTTCTGTCCTTCCAAATTGTTAGCCTGTGTATCAACGCTGATTATCCTCTCACCAGTACGCCAGGACCAGATAATCAATGAGAATTGTGGCAATGATCCTAAGGAGACCAGCCAATCCCGAGTAGTGAAAGTGATAGCCAGATATCCATTGGCAGAACCACGTGTCAATTCTATAATCTTATTCATAGACGGATATGACTGGATCAAAATTCTGGGATTTGAAACTTTCTCGGAGAACGCAAACAGCATGAGGTTCGGATGTCCCGATATGCACTTGGCTCCTTCGCCAGTAGACTGCTTCGAGCACCAACGTAAACTAACCTTATTTTGTACAACGTTAAAAAATATTATATAGAATCCCGAAGTCCATGCCAAAACATCTTTGCCAATCCAAGTGAATTCTTCAAGTATTCCACCACGAATCCAGCAAGGTCTCCATTCACTTTCGTTCATCCTGCTGAGTCTGAATATCAATGGATTCTCAATACAGACGAACTGCGAACTGTCACTTAAAACATGCACATGTGGCACCGATAAAGAGAAAAACAATGAAAGGTCCCCGCCATAAATTCAATGCGAAGGTAATTAAGTCCCGAATCGACTCGGAGTTATTTTGATCCGTTTGGCTTTTGGCACGAGAGCAGGTATCGGCTTTAAAGGAGTTAAGCAGCCTTAAGACAAAAGCTGATTAGGATACGCGTAGTCGATGGTGGTTTATAAAGACCCCCATAGCGTGGCGTGATGAGGTCAAGCAGCAGGGAGTCATCTGAGCGAGGGCCGATCAAAAACTTATCCTTACGCCATGATATACTGCCGGTAGAAGCCTACCGACCTGACTGCCTCTTCTTCGCTGCCTTAGCTTACCTTGCCTCACCTAAGAGCTAACCTAACAGCCTGCCTGCCTGCCTGCCTGCCTGTCCGACTAAACGTCCATAGGCTTCTACTCTTTGGGATACGATACCACGACGTTCGCAAGGATCTGATGGATCGGCTTACCATTAAAGTGACGCCTGCTGCGTTTCGTATTTGCATAACTATCGATAAAATCGACCTTCTCCAGTAACCCCATTCCTGATATTTACCAATAGGGCTCACTGCTAACCAATATCTTCGATTCTGCTGAAGAATTCTCTCTCGATGAATTATTACCCATTACGGGATCAGACATAAGGGAGCCAAACGCGTAAGTCAAGAACCCATCGACTGCCGAACTTTCTGCAAACTCGTTCGGACAGCGTTAATGACTGGTCCTTGCATCATGAAGGGGTCAAGCATCCGGGTTGGCGGAAGATCTGGTCCCAGGTATTCGGATTTTAGTTTGTAGCACGCACGTGGTGCTGGTGCACTGTCCCGGTACGAAAGAGTGTGGGAACAGTCCGAGCATGGCGGGTAGCATTTAATCAGAGCCCAGGGAGTACGGTATAGAGGTATATGGTTCGGTTAGTTTTTGCTTGAGAGGTTGCCTGGAAATTGGTGCCAAATTAGTAAGGAGACGAGGCGAGGCTCACGGTGCCTTGGGCTGCGTGACGCGAGACATTAAAAGTAACCTCTGCTCTTCTCGAGCCCTCTCTCTACCTTCCATCTTCCACCCTCCCTCTTCCATCCTCCGATTGCCAGTCCTCCTCTTTCCTTCCTTCTTTCCTTCCCTTCAGAAGTCCGCTTCTTCGCTCCTCGCTTCGGCTCTACCGATCCTCGACTATCTCCCATACCGTCCTCACTTCACTTCAGTTCACTTTGCCAGGTCGAATCGATCCGCGGCTCCTCGCGATCCTCGTGCAACCAGAATTCCTCGACTATTCAGCAGCATCCATCCCTCGGCAAGTCTTCAGGTAGTAGGCAGTGCCTACTGTACGGTCAGAAAGCGAGACGGAGAGAATGAAGAAGGCAGCGACTTAGAACTGCCTCCCGGTAATCACGGTGTGTCTGAGGGCGCGCGCGCTCACCGAGATAGCAAATAAAAGAAAGGGGGGAAAAAAGTACAAAAAAAAAAGAAAAAGAAAAAAGAAAGCGAAGAAAACTCGCACTTAGTCCGAACCTCCGAGTGGTAGATATATCCCACTTGAAGTAGATACGTTTCCACATAGCCAGCTATTAGCTACATGCACACGTATGACGTACCTCTGAGATGCACACCGATTACCATGGAGATGCATTCCATGCCAGCACATCAGGCTCTGCGTGTGTCAAACTATCCCGCATCGTGAGAGCCGGATATATGTATCCACATACGTGATATACCCGAGGCATTCTCAATTCAGATAGCTCCTAGCAGGGCTGCCAATTACCGGAGATTCGCTTTAATTAACCGTACGAGATGTCGCTTGTGCGCGACATGAAAATTACTATGTCATTATTTAGTTAGGTACACGCGCTGCTGTATCACTTATTTATACTCCCCTACTGTCACGCGGAGCTCTCAGGTAGACGCAGACGTTACGTGACCGTTTCTGAAGACTTTATCGAATGGCTGTCGACACCGTGACGCCGCGACGCCAGGACGCTGAGAGACCAGCGCGTGCAAAGAACATCGCAAAGAGGAAACGTAATGAGAATCGAAATAGTCGGACGTCAAGTGGACGAGTCCTTCCCATCTCGGCAGCTGGATTTTGCCTCGCATGTTCAGAGGTCGAAGCTGCTCGGAGATTATAGATGCGTCGCGGCGATCACAGACGAACGTTTAAATCGCTAAACGTCAAATTACTCGGCTCTTCTCTTGCTTCTTCTCGTTCTTCCTCGGCTTCCTCTTCTTCTTTAGCTTCTCCTCTTCCTCTCTTACCGTCTTTCTTGTGAACCACCGTAAAAAATAATAGCGTGCGCTTCGAATAGATTCGGATGAGTAACTACGATTCCTTTCTTCCTTTTCTTCTCATTATCATTTTTCTTCCTCTTCTTTTTCGTAGTCTTGATTGTCCAGTAAGCAGCTGTGCCGCTCGCTTCGGAAATTAGTTACGGTTTCACGATGGTAGCGTCAATTACTACTGCCATTTTGATCGGCGTTCAAATAGATGGAAAGGAAGGATCAACTGATGCTGCGAGGGTCCATTGGAAAGTTGGCGAATATATTTCCCTCTCGAAATCGTGCGTGTATTTAGAGGATGATGCACGACCCGGAGACCACACACGAGCTCTTACGAGGTAACATCAATTAGCCATCGCTTAGAACGAGCGGCTCTCTTGTCCCGGTGCATCCACCGCATATAAATGCATCATGCGCGCATGTTACTTTATCCTGTATGCAGCGCCGCATACCAGCGACGCAGCGACCTAAGGAACACCAAAAGATTAACCACCATAGAGTTGCCACGATGACATATGGACTACCGGAGTCTTTGTGCGCTTCTGAATACCCCTTAAATTGGGGGGACGCGAACGCTTCAGGTCCAAGAAGACTCCTGCGTAGCTACCGAACATCGTTGCTTTGATGCATCGGACTCTTTCTTTTTTTTTTTTTGGGTAATCTGATTCTTTTTACGTATTCGAAATAAAAAGACTTCGGCGCGCAAATAACGGGACTTTAAAGGAAGTTTTAATTTTGTTGAACCTTCCGTGCTCTCTTACGCGTGTTGTGCCAATTGCTTGAGAGACTATAAGAGACAGTATGGGAAACAATGGAAAATCTCTTGTACGGACGTGGAGAGAAGTTCGAAATGCCAGCTATGGGAAGCAGATGCGTCTGTCATTAATATGAACTGGGTAAGCTATTAATAACCTGTTAATGAGGACTCATGCCCCTCCCCTATATGGTGTATTCGTGCGAGTCAAGAGGATATGTATAGGTAGACGCAGCACTATTCATGGACAAAGATTTACTCTATAGCATAAGGTATAAGCTATGGATTATAAGGTATAGGACGCGAGATATAGAACTGTGGGACCGTCAAAAGGCCCCAGCAAACATCGTGATTTATAATCCGACATGTACTTTCTGTACTGATGCGCTCAGACAAAAATGTAAATGAATAAAAAAAAAAAAATTGTAATTTGACGCAAATACGATTCAGGAAGAACGAGTTTTGTCAGAGACCAATAATCGCTATTTCAATAAGAATTTGAGACGCGATACAGTCGGTTTCCTTCAGAAAAGGAAATCTCTTCGTTCTCCAGATCAATTAGGTCCCGGACCAAATGGCCGTAGGCTGGTCTGGGACCTGATCAATTTGGGATCGATTATTCGTATCTTGGAAAATCATTCATTACTTTTGGCGAAAAAAAAAGGCACTGGCAATAGAATATTTTGCGCGTATCACTGATATACCTTTTGTCGTAATAACAAAATTGTTTTTCCGCCCGTAAGAGCTGAGTCTGGGGCCTAGACGAGAATGCGTGTCAGGAAAGTGGAGTCTACTTCTGGAGGAAGTGAACGATCGATCCACGTCATTCGTTGCTGACGGCTTCGAGACCTCCAGGAAAAAGTGATAGAGAACCTAGGGAGGTGGTCCAGAGAAGTTTTCACATGTAGAATACCATGATTGAACATACTGGTGGATAGCTCAATACTATAATTAAATGAGAACCTCTGGTATGAACGCAGGAACGCCCACGCCATGCATCAACCATGACGTAGATAGGTAATGCTGCTGCAGATGGAGAAGATGGTCCTCGGAGATATACCCTCCATTTCTACCTTAGTTAGGGTCAGCTATCTCGCGCGACCCATCTCCGCCTATCCAATCACACTGCACCCCGCGTATGGCACGCAAGCGATAATACACAGTGTCCCAATTATCCCGCAACACGACAGGGCCATATTTGCCGTGAGAGTATTTTCAGAAGGTCCGAATAGTCTTCAGCTACCTTGATCCCACGATCCCGACTGTACTGCGGCATCCTTGAAAATAGATCATGTTCCTCCCGACTATCGTGTATCTAAGCGATAATATTATGCCGGAATTCACAAATTCGTATCTCGTGCCAAAATCAATTAACAAAGTGCGCTAAAGCGCGTGGATTTAATTAGGGATTTTTTAAATATCTCTATTGAAATCGTATGGTTTTACGGTAAACCGGGTAATTACAGAAAGACACGATGGAGGTTTACCACGCCCCAGTCCCTTCGGGCGACCAATACGCGCTGTCGCCGGTTGTCCCCCATCAGCAGGGTCGAGGAACGACATTCCAACTCGACGAGGACGGAAACTGCCTGCGACGCGGAGAGACCCTATATATATGTATACGCCTATAGCTCTGCCAGCCGCCCCCAAGCTACACCACCTACACACTTCTACACAGATGCACAGCCCCACCTTCAATTCTACACTGGACGCAACGAGGGATGGTAGGCGGACACTAGAAAATGTCTCCGTACATATCAAGTCATCTTTCGCTATTTGCATCAAAATGATTTTTCAACCAACGACCGGCAACTTCGAATCATTCCACCCTAATAACCTAATAAAGATATTCGGTACACGCTACCGAGAATCTTTACTCTTTCATTCCTGTCTTATAAAATTAACGAAATATTGCAGGTCCTATGATTGTAGAATGATCAGAATGTATTCTGAAAACATGATATACGCGGGAGAATGATTTTAAGAAAACTGCTCTAGGATCGAAACATCCGCCTCTCGATAGTCTCGGAGTACAAGAGCCCCACCCTCGAATAAGGGCGGCGACCTATAGGAAGTGTCGCAGCGAGGGTGGCTAAGGGTAGATACCTAAAACGAGATCGAGTGACAAGGAAACGAGAGGACTGTCGCAGCAGAGTGGCTTGGCGAATCAGGAACGTCGTTCCGAGTGGCGTTGAGGACCTCAGGACGAGGACAGGAGAAAGAGCGCTTGCGCTTGCGACCGCTGGACACGAGGCGACACATCGATCCAGGTTTCTAGAACCTCCGGCCACCTTCCGCCTCCTCTACCACCTCCACGTTCACCTTCGACTCCGTCTTCTTTCCTTTTCTTTCCTTGATTAAACCGCTCTGACCAGCACATTTCTCCTAGCCGGATCCATCAGAATGCAGGATCCCCAAGAGGAGGTTGATTTTAATGTGTCTCCTAAGGAGGAAACCTGAGGTATCCATCTATTGATTCGTAGGTTGAACAGTTGCCAGAAGGATTGGCAGGATAGGAAGGATAGGAAGGATAGAAAGGAGAGAAAGGGTAGAAAGGAAGAAGGTGGGCATCGGCCGACAGGCTTACTCGCGTCTCACGGACGACATGGGGTGATATATTGCCAGGAGCTATACCTACCATCCCCAAGGCAGCCTGCTAGAACCAGCTAGAGTCCTCCCTTGAGCCTCCCATGCCAGCACTTCAAACTACCCCGCCACGAGCGCCTTTATTCGAACGAAGATCCATCTCCATAATGGCCCACACGCCCCCAAGCTTCCCACACGCTCCATCTGCATTGTGCTCCGTCTTGAAAACTCTTACGCTATGCAAAGCTTCTCTTTGCGGATACCAGAGATTTGCCACTTGGACTGCATTGCCGAACCTGGCCGTTGAACTACATGGACGCGTTTTCGACTTTGCCCTATTGAGATACAAAACATTTGTAGGACAAGAACAAAGCTCTCGAAAGTCCTCGAGAGACAATGCAAATTTCAAATGCAGGACCAATAGTGCAGCTGCATGATATCTTGTACAGATTTTCACCCTGCTGGAAATTAAACTTTTCCGAAGGATAAAAAATTATGAAAATCTACACGAAGGAGGAGGTTACACCTGCCGCCGTACAGACTTTTCCGCGGCACGGCGAAGAACAGATTAAGCTTTGGAAGGAGATTTATGGACGCGCGTGTAACGAGCAACTTTTTCATGTGATGCGCGCAGAGGGTTAGTGTCGGGGGCGGGATTAGCATAAGATCCAGCAGCTGCAGCCCATGGCCATCTTCTTCAGCGTTTTCGTCCCGAAAAGAATTAATCGCCCCAAGCCTACCTACAAAGAGAGGACGGGATTCAACCAATTCGCCAGAAAATAGTCAAGGGTACCTTTGGCTCGTCAGTATCATCATCCAACTATAGTACATTTTGAGAGCCAAATGTTTCATTTGTAGGATAATTGAGCGTAAAGGCAGCGTAATACGTCGATTAACAGCGAAGCCATGGTAGCGCCTGGCTACTGACACCGCACATCCATCGTACGCCGAGTATTCAATTAGGCAGAGGCCAACGATGAGGTCTCCTCCTTGCTCTTGGGAGAAAAGAGAAAATAGCCTGAGATACGAGTTCTCGAAGGACAGGGTGGTACCAAGGGATACCAACTGGACCAAAGACGTGCCAAGGGATGGCTATGGTCTCTACTGGACCTCTAGAGTTTTTCTCTCTCTCCCCCCTTTAGATATTAATGAGAGGATAGGGAGACTGCTTCAGACTCTCATTCCACTTTTGATCTCGACAGCAGCCTCTCTCGCACGGTCTAGGTCCTCCCCATTCTCGAGTGACAGAGAAAGAGTTTGGTGTGAGCTGCAAGATAGCGCGAGGAAGGGATGGAGTAGCGCGAAGACCTCTGGGAGAAAACGGGAGGGTCTTCTACACCCTCCAGTATCCAGCTTCCTATAGAAGTAGAGAGGGGTAGGATGTCGGAGGGTCACGAGAGGAAGGCACCGAACTCGAGATGGAGCTGCTGGTGATGCTGCTGCTACCGGAGGAAAACGAACCTCTGTAGGGTGAGAAAGGCAAGAGTAAGAGAGACGGAGACCTGGACCCCACGTAGGAGACGTTCAATACTGTAGCAGCGACGTCGAGCCAACGCCATTGGCTACCATTTTCTCTATAGCCTTCGTATCTACTCTCTGCTCCACTCTACTCTTTTACGCTACTTTCCTCTAAGCCATCATCCTCCACCGATCCACCGTCATTTCTGAATACAGACCAACTTTGGTCTTTTCCTCTATTATAGAGACACGGCTGCCTCTTGTAACCTCTTTGGCTGTTTGCCGAGCAGATTCGAAAAAAGAAAAAAAAACTGACTCCTGGTATACATGTTACCATGCTATAACATTATGGCAATTCGTTTATTTGTCAGGTCGACGTCGTGATAATTATATCCTAGTCTTACCTACGATTTATTTTATTATTAAGGACCGCTCACGAGTTTCTCGTGTTTCGTACCGCATCTGCTACGGACCGATCACGAGGTAGTTCGGGTTTTTGACACGCTGTCTTTAGATGTCACCTACTTTCATATATTGTGTCCACTACTGTATTCTATTTTAGAATTTCTGAAAGTTTCACAAAAATTACTTGATAAATAATAAAGTTGTGAAGTTTTTAGTAATGGGCAAGTTTTCCCAAAAACCTGCGGTCCCTGGCGTATGTCTTAGAGATTTCTATGCGGTACGCAATATGTTAATACAAGGATCTGGACTTGAAAATATTCGTACGTTGGAAATATTGTTACTTGTACTTAGCCATAATTGCGGCTTGACTACACTCCATTAGTTTAGGACGAGAACTAGACTGCAAAGAACCTGTGCAATGTGACTGTTATAAGATGGTTGAAACCCGAAACATAAGGACCGGAACCGTATCTTCAAGAACAATGTGGCTCATATCTCCCAAAGTAAACTAACTGCAGATTGCTACCGGCAGAAACTCAAGTGTTGTATTAAAAAATCGTGATTATAATTCATTGTAACAGAATCGTCATTACTATTTCCGCAGAACTCCAAGCAAGGAAACGTAAATCCCCTTAAAGAACAAGGGCAATTCTCTACGAACAATTGCATTGGTAGAATGTAGAGAAATCTGTAAAAAAAAGAAAACAAAGCATCGCGAAGATGCCTCCAAGGAAGTAGATGCCATCGAGAGCAATGATCTCCGAGCAATTACTTAAGATGCCTGACGGTGAATGTAACATCGTGGACGGCAAGAAACCAAAATCATACTCTAGCTAAGAAACCGTTTAACTTTTTCTATGAAAATATCCAGTCCTGTAGATTCTTCGCGTATTCAAGGAACGCAACATTCTTCTCTCGCAATGACTATGTAAAAGGAACCGTCAAAAAATCAGAATAAAAATTAAAAATGTAACAGCCCAAATGGGAAGCAAGCGTTTCGGCGTTTCTGCGGATTTCTACTATGCCAAATGTTCAGCTCCTAAATCTCGAGAATGTAATTCGATAATTGCGGCAATCTTGAGGCGCGCGTTTCGTTATTCCAACCATATGCTTCGACGGCCCGGTGAAAGCCTCGAGGCTAATCGGACTCTGAACTACCGGCTGTGAAATTTCCTCTACGACCATCCACCTTGGCTTGCCGTCAATGGTCAGTTTTCCATTTCCATTGGGAAGAAAAAGGGATACTTTTGAAACTTACAGGGGTAGATTACAAAAATTAGTAACAACCGCCTTCCCACTTGGACCTTGGTCTAAATATTTGAATGACGTTTCGAACAACGCACTTCCGTGCTGACCAGTGCTCGGAGAATAATGTTTTGATAAATAAAAGAAATTCCAAATGCCGCTGATATAAAGTTGGAGGGTCGGAAATGGTTGGTTCATTTAGAATTCTGACAAGGGTTAAAATTCTAGAAGTTGGACGAATTTAAGGCTGCTGTTCAGTTTGGAAAAATAGGTTAGTCGCAAAGAGTCTACGGGATTTCATAAGTGAACGCTACTTATAGGTAAAGTCATACGGAACATGAGATTGTCTTTAATACTCATGGTTTCGCAACATTTAGGAATTTCGCACACAGAGTTAAAAAAAGTAGTATACGACACGCGTCCACTTAAGTGATCGCGTACTTCGCGCACTTGTATCGTAATGTACTATTATAGTGATTTTTTACGACATATTTTTTGTAATAAAAATTTTAGATGAATCAGTCTTCATGGTGTCGATTTGAATCAATCTGAAAGATCGATACATTATATTGCTCCGAAAACCCTGATTTAAACCAATTTACGTCCAGGAATCGCGAAGTAAGAATCTTGCAATGCAGATAGCATAAGTTTGAATGAAAAATGTAACTTGAAAAAGCTATCGGAAAATAGACTTTGCGTAAAAAGATTTATAAGTTATTAATACAGTTGTATGACAAATATTTAAATTTAACAATAAAAATCCATTTGAAATAAGACTGCACAGAATCTTGCAAAAATATTTTGCCGTAAATATATATCGTTTCTAAAAAAGATAGATCAATAATGAAGAGCGCACAAAAGTAATCCAAAATTTCAAGAACATGACATTTCTTGTTAGCTCCTCTTTTAAGGTGGTCTGTTTCTTTGTTTCCATTTTACAGGTTTTTTTATAGTCGTATATTGTCCCTTGTCGTTTCGTGTACGACGTTCTACGTCGGCGATTCTGTTGTCGTGACGTTTTCAGGCTTGTCTTTATAGGAGTCCTTTTCTTCGGATTCAGGATTCTCATTATTTCCTTCAGAGATACAATTTACGTCCGCTACACTTTCGATGATCATAATTTCGTCATCGCTGTTTTCGCAGTTATCCAGATTTTTTGAAGTCTTCGGGAATAAATTGATTCTAGACGATTTTGGAAATTGTTCCCCTCTCCCAACAGATATTAAAGGAACTCTTTTCGGAGGTTTGCTGTGTGCTGGTGTCAGCTTCTTGGTACTTAATTGCTTTTGCATCTCTTCTTGAGTCATCTTCTTCGTAAAAGCTGTTATCAACGGAATTCTTTTTTTCTCCTTATCTTTTTCTTTTTCTTTATCCTTATCCTTCTCTTTGTCGTCCTTTTCAATTCTTTCCACGACATCCACAGCCACCTCACTCTTCCTCTTAGGTGGAAATATATAGGTCCAGCGATTCGGTATAGCAGCTTCGCTCCCGTATCTACTTCGAATTTCTTCAGAAACGTACCAGCAATTCTTCAAATACATAGGACCCTCCTCCGGACAAGCAATCCATTTACCGATCTCATTGATTTTCCTCAGAACGCTAATTTTGGACAATTGGGAATCGTTGGCTTCGCCTTGTTTACTCCAAAAGGCTATAAATTCTTTAACCAGGAAACGACGAGCATGCGTATTTCCATGGACTAATCGAATGAGATCAGGTATCGCCTCATTCGGTACTCTAGTCTTTTTCGATGAACCCTTCTCTGATCGTGAAGGCGTCCCGATATCCTGCACGTTCTGATTTTCAGTCTCTTTAGGGGCGCATAGAGTTATCGGTATCTCTCGAATCCAGGCTTGCCGATCAGATAAGAACTGCTTGAGATATTCTATAGCTAAACATCGTTAAACAATTGTATTTGTTAAATATATTTCGTTTACAATTATTCATGTTAGATTCTACGCAATGCTTACTGCTCTCTGGGAATTCGTGAAGAGGACCCTGCCAAATGCACCCAATGACTTTTGGCTTGATCCTCGCAGTTTTCGTTTTTCTCTCTTCCTCGAACTGTTCACCTAAAATCTTCAATTTCACTTTCTGCGTCTCTGGGGACTGATAAAAAAAGATACGATACAACATGTGACGTAAACAACACAGAATATATTATTTCAAGCATCATCATATGATATCTCACATACCATATCTTCTGTCTCTTCCTCGTCGGGCTGTGCCTCCTCATCAGAGAGGTATCTAGAATAAAAATGTCAATAAAAAAAAAGATCAATTAACCTTCAATAGTACCAATCGCTCTGACCACTCACCCATGAGGTACCATAAATTCGTTATCCACGTCGTACTCGTTATCATCCGTGTTCTCCTCATCCTTCTCATCATCAGACCCTTTGAGTGATTCTCCCGGTTCCTCTTCCTCCCATTCATCATCAGAATCAATATCGTAATCGAACCATTTCTGTAAAAAAAAACATACATGATCCACTTTGAAGTTCCATAAAATTCAAGACTCCCACGCACGTTTCGTCGAAATGATGGAAAAATTTGCCTAAGGAAACAGGGAAGGTCGTGATCTATTAGGAATCTCTATACTATTTAATTCCTCCTATAAATTTCATGATCAACTACAGGCAGAGCCACTGATGAATAAGCAGGACGTTCGTATCAGGAGTACTTCCTCGGCGGGCGATATCAGACTAGAGCTTCGAACGTGTCCTGTAGAGACGTACCCGTGGAGTATTTCCACTTCGTTAGTCACTCAGGCTACTCAATGGCTGAAAAGTTAAATCAGAAGAGTTGTCATTCCTATTAAGAATCCAGTGTTTAAGATGAACGTTGCCACTGAACACGTAGGTGCAGTAGTGATTTTAGTCCAACGCTGCGATCAGCCGGTGCAATTGTTACCATTATGATAAAACTTAACTAAGGAAGCTAGTGGATTTATTGTGAACAGTTGATAGAGAATACACTGAAAGTGTCCACTAGCAAGGAAATGGGCATTTCCTCGAAGAAATAATGAAATTGAAAATATGGATCTTTAAATTCTGGAGAGAATCATCTTGGCTGCCGATTATTAATAAAGTGAACAACTGCGAAGGTTCAGAGTCTGATATAACAACAAATAAATTCTTGAGTGAAATAAACAATCTTGTTCGGTAGATCCAGAGCGTTATCAGACCCGAAATATAATTTGATCTTGAGCAAGTATTGGCGCACGCATGCAGCTTTTGGCAGCGATATGAAGGTACGTTGGGAATGTGTGTCATAAATCTTTATTAGGCAGATTATTTCAGCGTGAAAACGTTGCTCAGATAAAATAATGAACAATTGTCGATATCGCAAGAAAAGCATCGACACGCTTACACGATAAGTACAGAATGCGTTAAACCCATATCGCGAAGCAGATACTCGAGCCTTCAGGTATGACGCAAAAATGAAAGCAGTCACAGGAGCGATAGAGGGTCTAAGTGAATGCATCCGAAGAGTCGAGGAGGCGAAATGGAAAGAGAAAAGAAGAAGGCACGTATCTCGCACATGCAATGAAGTTATAACAGGGAGCCTGAAGTGGCTGTCATTATTTACAGCGTGTTGTCACCCATCGGGCCATCTGTAATAGTTGTTTCATGCCTCATAGAGATTAGGCCTTGCCCCGTAGACTATAGATTAAAAAAAAACCACTATTCACGCTGTCACGCATCTCTATACATTTACCATAAATACATATCATACATTTGGGGTAAGCTGCATCTCATAAAGCATATCCATCCAGTCGGTATGGTAAGACTTGGCAGGACGAAATTAATAACTCTTATCGTCGATGAAAAAAACGTTCTCAATTGGACCGACGCCTCCTCTACGGATACACCTGTAACCCCCGAGGGTATCGTTGACGTAAAATTCACAGCAGGTAATTACGTATCAGGAAATAAAGCGCATAATTCTGATCGGTACGATGACTAGGAGCGCGAATGGGATCATTATTGTTAGGTTCGATCGGACAACCTCAGCATGTGGCGCACGCCGTGAGGATGCGAAGTCAATAAATTAAGTTGGAAAGCGAAATCGAGTATGCGGCTTAAGGATCTCGCACGCGATGATCGTGCGGTTAATCGAGATTAAATGTGGCGAAAAAGCGCACAAAGAAATGGCATGGATCAGCTTGCAGGAAAAGAAAAACAGTTGCACATGCTACCGAGTGATCTGTCTATAATGAATGGAGAGAGGCTGGATCGGTCTGATTGCGTCACTTGATATCGATCAGCGTCACGGCTACGCAATTCGAGAGTTACAAAACAGAAGTGAAAAGGGCTGTTAATACGACCCACGATGCGACTCGATCGACACAAGATCCAAAAAGCTGAAAGCGCTTGCGCGTCATCACCAGCCAACACTGGAACGTATCCGTTTTCCTCCCCAGTCTTTGGGCGATAAAAGAGAAAGAGAGAGAGAGAGAGAGAGAGAGAGACAAAGAGAATGAGAGAATGTCTCTCTCTCTCTCTCTCTGACTCTCTGTCTGAAATCCGTTACTAACGGTTTACCACTTTGAAAAGATAATACAAGGTGTATACTATAATACAAAGTCGTTCTTGATTTGCGATCATCAGTAAAGAAAAATACCCATAGAGAATCCAGTAGAAAAGAGGAATATGCCAGCATTTAACTTGAAAATCCACTTAGGAAGCCGCTGTCATCGAAATGAAGTGATCAAAATATATGGTGAAATGATCCTACCGGAATAAATGAATGACCAATGTCTTTTGTGCTAATAAAAAGAAAGGCTACTCGCAGGAGGACAATTAGGACGCTTCGCGCTCATAAATATCGAACGGGTAATCGGCTTATCGTCCAATTAGCAGCCATTTGGGGAACGTTTGAAAATAGTGAGCATGTTGCGCGAAGCAGGGACGCGTCTGGACCGTCGCCGTTCTGGAACCCGTGGCCAACGGGTCCCAAGGGAGAAACGCCGGTGACGGCACCGCGTGGCACAAACTTGATATCTCGTCGAGTCCCGACGCGACGTCGTTTCGATCTACTCTCGATCGCCAACCAGTTTAAAAAGGTCCTTCGTGCGCGTAACATCCCCAACTTCAAAAGTTCAAGTTTAGCCAAGATCAAAAGAGGGTCCGGCCATTGTTGGACCATACGTGGCTAAGGCCGATGATTCTTAAGGATCATTCCGGACGCGTCCTTTCATCCGAATCATTGATACAAGACAATAGAATGCACCGGGTCGAGGCGGCACTGAGGTGAAGTAAAGGGATCTGTGTTTTGTAACCGGGATGTTCGAGCCGGTCGGTACTTTTGAAAATTCTTATCGTACGAATTTCGATTCTTCCATGTTTGACGTGAGTATTTTTCATACAACTTTGACAATTTCTTGTTCCTTCCGTTGACGCTTCTTGTGCTGCACATTAAAGTTCATGAAAGGTGTGACGAGAAGTTCTGAGATCAGTGCTACACGATAAAGAGGCCTCTGCTGTTGAAGTTCGCGCGATGCACGCTGACCCATATGCGAAGACGTCGAGCGACCTATAATTCATTATGATTGTACGAAAAATATGAAAAATCACACACAAGCGCAGGAGACCATCCTTTGATGGGCTGCGAATGTGTTATATCACGTGACACGTATGTCGCACGATGTCAAGCTTATTTTATCGTTAGTCACTCGTACGCAATCATCCTTTACCTATGTCACTCAGGAAGCAAACTTGACAGTCGGCATATAATAATATATGCATTTTCATATAATTTTGTATTCTCAATCCAGATTGCAGACGAACTATTTTTCTCGGCCCTGGGCCTGGATATGAATGGACCAGATACTGAAAATCATCTGCTATCCCCAAGCACCTCATTTTTACCTTGCGACCATGAAACGCCCTGTACCACGCCGCTAAGCGAAAATTCGGAATACATCGATTACCCCACGAATCCTATTGGATTTTCTGTCGACTGTTACACGAATTTGACAAGCTCACCTGAAACACCCTGGAGCGACTGGACCACCAATGCCTCCACGTCTTCGAGTGAGTATTAACATTTTAAATAGAACATCAAGATCATTTTTTTGAAATACTCATTTCTTGCCTGCAGGCTGTCTAAGCGAGCTCAGTGAATTAGACTCGGAATTGGAATGGTGCCTGGATAAGAGTTCGAATGCTGGCCTACCGGAAAGGACTCCGCTCTGCACTCCAGGATGCGAAGGATTTCTGCATTTGCCATTACCAAAACCGAAGACACAATTGCAACACGACGAGCCTCTCTTGGTACTGGGGATCGACCTTAGGGCCTTGGAAGATTCCCTGGGTATGGACCACAACAATAATCAACTAGAGGAGAGTCTGTTACTCTCTTCCGCAGCTAACGCAGCTCTCGCAACTCACGACTATACTAATAGAAGTTTGGCTCATGCGGCCGAGGACCGTTGCTTTCCTTGCACCTATCAAGGATGTATCAAGGTAAACGTTAATAGATTAATTATACATCCTGAAAGGGCCCAAGTAATTATTTTGAAGAATAATTATAATTTTTGAAACAGGTATACGCAAAGGCTTCTCATTTAAAGGCGCATCTTCGTCGCCACACCGGTGAGAAACCATTCGCCTGCACTTGGTCAGGATGCGGATGGCGCTTCAGCAGATCCGACGAATTGGCACGACACCGAAGATCACATTCTGGAGTAAAACCTTATCCTTGCGAGATGTGCTCCAAAAGATTCGCACGAAGCGATCATTTGGCGAAGCATCGTAAAGTGCATCGTAAAAATGCATATCCTTTGTTTCAAGGATCGAGAGAATTTCGTCCAGGGAAGGTGAATGCTTTGCCGACAGAACTCTAGCGGATGTTTCTCTTAAGTTTTGTCTACCCTTCGATATTTTGAATTTTACCTCCTTTTTTTTATGGCCGCGATTATTGTCCTACTGAGGCTCCGTAAATACTCTATTAGTTAGTATCGTATGTAAGTAGAATCAACGTTAAATCCTTAGTTCGTAAGTCTACGTGAATGAAAAAAAAAAGGTAAAGAAAAAAAGGCAACGCCGTATCATCAATGAAGCCTCGCAATATCCTAAGTCACAGATTGATAGTAAGAAACTTTCCTAAAAAGATAATAATCCTCTAATTGAGCTGAAAGAGAAATCTATTTACGTAGGTATACGACTAGCACACTCTAGCTACTCTTCCGGCAGTTATACTTAATGTTAAATATGGATTTGTTAATAGGAAATGTGACATTTTATAAACTGGATAATAATCGAAAATAATCAAAGCATATGCCATCTACTGATAACGAAACATGTAATGCAAACAAGCTTGCAAATTATTCTATTTACTCACCGTGTCTTTGGCAAATGGTCGTCGTGCTGTGATACTTTCGCTCTTCTTACGCCATGTCCCCCGATATGCTGGTCGCCGATTCTCCCTGAACATCAAAAGCTTTGCTCTGCCCAAACTAACCGAAGAATTTTTCTGATCGATTACGTTCGAGTTGTCCTCTTCATCGTCATCTATGCGAAATATAATTCATTTTTACAGCCTGTCTAAATGATGTAGATCAATTTTTTGCTTACCGATTAGGATCACGTCGTCTTTCGATTCCGCGGGCCACGTTCTACCGAACGTTCGTATTGCTCTGGAACCACTTTTTATTTCTTCCAAATAAAGTTGACATCTTACGGATTCACCTGCACACACTTTATCAAGCTCACTTTTTTCTGATTCACTTAAATTTCTTCTGCAAAGCGGAGCTATTCTCATGTCAGCTTTTATTTCAAAGGGCATGAAATTCTGAATCTTTATATGTTCCTCTTCCGCCGATTTGTTTTCTTGCTTTTTGGCTACGAAAAAACTGGCGAAATTTGAAGCAGCTTTCTGTTTTTTGCGCTCCGCTTCGAGTCTTTCTTCTTCCTTTCTTTTTCTCTCTTCTTCTTTTGCTTCCTCCCGTTTACGACGATCCTCTTCCTTCGCTTCTTTCTCCTTCTGCTTTTGCCTACAAGAATATTATTTGTTATATATCTATTTTTATGATATTCATAAATCATCACACAGTACGACAAACAAACGCACTCTATTTCTATTTGTCTCTTTAGTTCCTTCTGTTCCTTCTCTTTCCTCTTTTGTTCCTTTTCTGCGCGCTCTTTTTCTTCTCGCTCTTTGCGCTTCAATTGCTTCTCCCTTTTACGGCTTTCCCGTTCTTCTAAACGCTTTTTTTCCTTTTCCTATTAGTTAACAATAAAAAATTAACAAAATGATTCAAATCTCTATGGACTTAAAGTATACAAAAAGAAAGCGATACTTGTAACTTTATAAAATCTTACCATTTTTAAATGCTGCATCCTTTCACGACGTTTAACGCTAGCCAAGTGTTTCTCTATCTGTCTTGGAGTTAGTTTCTTAACTTTGACAACAGCACATTTCATTGCGTCCTTTGATGTTAATGAATCATTTAACTTATCTTTTTCATCAGATTCATCATCAGATTTTTCGTTCACTTCTTCTTCGTCTTCTTCTTCATCTTCAGAGGATAACGATGGTGTATCAGAATCGGTATCAGAATTTTTGCTGGTATTATCATCAATCCCATTTTCTTTTTGTGTGTCACTTGATTTATCTTTTAAATCTAATTTTTCAAACTCATTTACTCTCGCTTTGTCATTTTCATTAGACTGCTCTTCATTGCTCTTGGAAACTAAATCCTCCATTTCCATAGGTTTTTCAGTATTCTCATTATTTTCACTTTTATTCTCAGTATTCGCTAATTCTTCAGTATTACTATCTTGCTTCTTATAAGTCTTCTGTAAAAATTTGGTAAGCGGTCTCTGCTTTATCTGTTTCTTCTCTGCCAATTTAGAGAAACTTGCTTTTGTGTCCTTATCACTGACTGCTTCATCTTCTTTTTCTTCACTTTTTGACTCTATAATATGAATGTCATCATACTCAATTTCCCTTATATCATTTGTGACATCTTTTTTGGAATTTTCTTTTGTGGTAATTTTAACCACTTTAGGACTTCTTGTTGTAGATGGAGAATTTAATTTTCGTTTTTTATTAGATACAGTATTAGTTGATTCCACAGAACTGAGTGTTTTAAAAGGCAACCGTCCTGAAACAGAAACAGTTCCATAATTATCATACACTTGTTACAAAAATCACAATTAAAATAATATGTTAAATCCCTTTAAAAGACTCAATACGAAATAGTCATAATTACCTTGCTTCAACTTTTTTTTTGACGGTGTAACCAACTCTATGGTGCAATCTTGATCATTCATATCAACATCCATAACTTTCATTTTAGTTAAGCTGTAAGAATGGAATACATTTTTCTCGTGAGGGTAAATAAAGAATAACGATATTTTTAAAGGTATTATATGATATAAGCTAAAGTCAAGTAGTATATACGACAACCTACCTTCAGCATGTCAAATAAACTTAATCCTCGTGTAGTGAGTCGAACGCAACAAAGGGCTTATCGAATCCACAACACTCGATAACTATAACCATACGAATTTGAATAGAACGCGAAATCTTTCAAGGCAAAAATATTCCAGTAAGGTAATAAAAATAAATAGTTATCAGATTTACTATTAACAATTTTATGAAAAACTTTAATATAAAGCTACAGAACAGCCATAGTCGGCTCGTAACGAAATACGCGGGAAATACGTTATAGAAGGGGAAGCTCCGAGAATATTGTCCTGGTACGTAGAGAGAGAACATCCAAGCAGGCATCACAGATGAGTAGGGAGATCCTCCTTCCTTCCTTTCCTTATGGCTGTATCCCCAATGGGGTACATGTGCCAGTAACTGGTCCTAATCATCAAGGTTGGAAGTTCGACAATAGATGGCGATGTACCTTGGGAGACGGGCCTTATTCAACTCAGCGTGAGGGGACCAACAAAGTTTATACACCGAATCCGAACAGTGTTGGGCGAAATCCGTATAAATACTCACTTAAGTTTTCATATGAAAACTCATTGGTGAATGCCGCTGGAATCTGGGATGAGTAGGGAGAAGCACAACACTACGATTTTAGGCAGAGATGAATAAGGAGACGCACAACGCTACGATTTTGGACGATACCAAAATCATGGCGCTAAATCGTAGCGGCGAGTCTGGAAGTAGGATTATGTGGTCATTGCCTCCGTCGATAAAGCATTTCCGCCGTAGCTAAGCTGAACGAGATCATGAACGCGTAGTTTGGTGGACAGAGGTTCTCCGCTACTCACCGCTGAAATCCAAAGCAACCCTTAGAACGAGATTTGGAAGTATAGAACTTCTTAAGAACTATTGAAAAAGCCTATTGTTGAAACATTTTTAAGACAGTGCAGTGCCAACTTGACAACCAATGTTTACTAAATATTATTCGATCTTGATTTACTTTCAAAATTTATACACAATATAAAATTGAGGCTTATTAAAAATCTCGCCGAATATACCGGTAGATAAAAATTGAATTGAAATAGTAGAATATCGAAAATAAATTCCGTTCAAATTGAAATATTAATAAATTA